ATAAACAGCACACACTTTACTTGTTTTCAAATAATATCTATTTATTTGGAACAAGTTAAACATATGTACAACAAAGTCTTCATATTATAGAGAGTACAGGCATATCATAAACACTATTTATATATAGTTCTCTTCTTCTTGTCAAAAGTCCACTTAGGCCTATTCAGTTACTTTAGAATTTCAGTTGACTATTCAAACTATCTTTTCTATATTACTAGTATTCTGTGTGTGATTCACTTACACTTGTGGTGCAAGTTACCGTAATTCGTTTGGTCTTTGTTCTGAAGATCTTCTGTTCCTTTTGTCAAAGTGTATCCAGACTAATTCAATTACTTTAAAACCACACTTTGATGGGATGAAATTATCCTTTTTATCTTTTTTATACTGTTAGTTTCACTCTAACATATTAAATGTTAGGCCTATCACATCTACGGTATTATCTGTCTATTGTTGTCTGTCTGCTGCTTCTCACTCATTTCACACTATTTATATCTTTATTACATAGTCATCTGGCCTATAATTGTTGGGTAAATTTTTATCACTTCTCTTGAAAAGCTGAGTAACATTAGCCAACTTCAATCTTTTGGCACCTGCCTACTATTCAAGGACGTATTTAAAAAAAAAGCCCCAGCATGGCCAGGTGGTTAGGGCGCTCGACTCGCAATCTGTGGGTCGCGGGTTCGAATACCCGTCACACCAAACATGCTCGCCCTTTCAGCTGTAGGGGCGTCATAATGTGATGGTCAGTCCCACTATTCGTTGGTAAAAGAGTAGCCCAAGAGTTGGTGGTGGGTGGTGATGACTAGCTGCCTTCCCTCTAGTTTTACACTGCTAAATTAGGGACGGCTAGCCCTTGTGTAGCTTTGCGCAAAATTCATAACAAACATACAAACAAACAATTAAAAAAAAGCAAGTGGCTCACATATCCAATCCTTAACCTCCTTCAAAACCTTTTGGAAAATATTTTCTGGCCCATCTATCAACTGTTAAAGATGAAGAATTGCTTAAATCTTCATTCATACTTTATGATATGTTTGATACTCATATAGCTTATACAGTAAGTATGTATTGCAAGAGCACTCTGTTATGGTGGCCAGTTGAAAGAACTGTAGCAGGCTTAAACAAGATGAAGAATTGCTTAAATCTTCATTCATATTTTATGATATGTTTGATACTCATATAGCTTATACAGTAAGTATGTATTGCAAGAGCACTCTGTTATGGTGGCCAGTTAAAAGAACTGTAGCAGGCTTAAACAAAATAAGTCCTTATTTAACAGTCACTGTTCCAAGCTAATTAATAGTCAGTCTTTTTAATTTTTTAATATTTTTTTATTAATTAATCACACCTAATAAACACAACAGAGTAATACTAAAACTTCGATTAGAAGATCGATATGAACCTTCAGCTATAACAGAAAGTTACAAAAGAAAGTGTTATTGTCAACTGCATTTTTCTTAACAACATTCTTAATTGTTGATTATTTATACATATACCTTGGAGAAGGGAGGAGTGTAGAGTTACACTGGTGCCCTTTTTCAACTTTAGAATTATTAGTGTTAGCAAGTATTTTATGTTTCATACTTATTTTGCCATAACACTTCTGTTATGACTTGTACACTTGGTATTCATTACATTTTATTGAAGCAATGTAACTCAAAACATACTCCCATATACTCCACCATGATGGTCTGCTCCTGTATATGGAAGGAGCTCCTTAACCTCTTTTGAAACCCTTGAAGAAATATTATCGGGACCAGGAGCTTTATCATTCTTTAAACTTCCCAATTTTTTCTTAACAAGCTCAAATTAATATAATTATCTTGTTCAATTTTGTTTCCATCTAGCAACTGTTCAGGATGGGGAATATTGCTTAATCCTCTTGCTATGGGTAGGTCAAAGTGTATGCCACAACTTTTTTTTTAGAGGGGTACATTCAAATTTGAATTATACTACTTTATTATCAATTTATATTAATAAACTTGCCATACGAATATAGTTAATAAATCTGTTTTTAATATTATATAAGTCATAAGTTCTTATTTTTACAAGGAAATATTTTAAAAATATTTATTGTCTTATATCTTTAATATTTATTTTTTGAAATTTGGAAGTAAAGTCTCAATATTCCTTATCTTTGTATGCAGCATAACATCAGACCCTTTTGAGCAATGATCATTTGTATTTGGATGTTCCCCAATCTCTACCCTATCAACCATTTTTTTATTAGAAATGAACAATAAATGTAAGATAGCATTGTTCGTAGTAGATTTCCTGACCAGTTGAAGAAAACCATCTTGAACAGTTTCTAAAAATCTGTTTCTCTCATGATTTGACTCTTAACATTTCCCAGTCTTTACACGTAAAATTAAAATCACCCATAATTATGACCTCATTAACAGCTGAATTTTTTATCTCATTATATAGTGATATAAGATCATCTATTTTATTTCTTATACTTCTAGCATTACAGTAGTAACAGTTTAGCCTATCATTGAAACTACGTCTGTACTTTGTTCCTACACTATACTTAATTCCACATCCAATTTTTTATCATTATTCTGGTCTTCACCATTGTTTAGACCTAGTTTATAGCTCCTTTACAGTACAGTTAATAGCCCTTGCAAACAAGTTAGTTCCTACCTTATATAAACGTAAGCCACCCATTCCAAAAAACTCTCTTCTCCAAGCACACCCATTCGTTCTGGGCAGTCGCTTTCTGGTTTGTTTGATATTTGTGCACCTACACCTGCCCATCCATCTTTGCAATGTGGGATTCTAGCTTTGCGTGAGAGGAGGTAAGACCGTATCAGAAGTTAAAATTTTTCTTACAATAAAAATGTATTTGCGATAGATACTTACCCTTACATACTTCCCATCATTCCTCCTCCTACCGATGTTCTTCTTTTGGAGCCTGCTAATTCTCAAAAGTGAGGACTGAGTGGGAATAAGAAAGGGAACTAGCTGAGCCAGTATAGGTGGTGCAATACTATTGGTGGAGAGTAGTCACATGATATGTTCAGGAAAGGCACGAAATTGCTAGGGTATGTAGGTGTGTGCTGATTGCAAAATATTTTTTTTTTAGCAGTGCTTAGAAGTCAGACTAACATAAAGATAGCTTTGTGTGAGAGATGGTAAGATTATTGTAATTAGTATGTGGCAACAATTGTTTTCTTTTAGTATAAAACTTCATAATCACAGGTAAGTACCTATCAGAAATACGTTTTCATGTAAGAAAAATGTTAACTTTTATTGTTGTGTGCTGTTTTTAGCCAACAGAAACAACTGCTGTTTAACTAAGGTCATTTTGTTGTTTTTAGGTGAAAGTCATGCACAAACAATTGCTGCTGTTTCATAATGCTGTTTCTGCTTATTTCTCTGGAAATCAAAGTATGCTAGAGTCCACTTTGAAACAGTTCAACATCAAGATGAAAAACCCTAATTCGTCCAGCCAGTCATGGCTAGAACAGTAAAATCGGAGAACTGAGACTAATGTAGACTGGGCACTCTTCATTCCGCTGTCTTGATTTCCTAGGTACTGAACTGTAATGACTTTTCTTGTGATGGTATATTTAAATTTGTTTACATTCTCTTCAGCCACGGACCTGATGTTATTTCTGTTGTTGTATAGCAGGAAAGAGAGAGTCGGTCTTGAGATCGTGTCTGAACAGTAAGGGAGGTTTTGTTGACATTAAGGCCTTGAAATTGGAAGCACTATTTTAATGTATTTTCTACCACCCTTCAAAGCTGGAAAAATGTGTATATTTGATAACCTTAGTTGTTCTAATGTTTAGTAAGTGCAGAAAAATTAATTTGAAAGTTATTAATTTCTCCTGTTTGCAAAGTTGAGGATGGAGTTTAGTTTACAGACTCACTCGTATTCCAAGGATAAAACTTGGATGTTTTCAGAATATTTATTCAGCATATTTTATAATATTATTTCTATTTGTTTGAGAATTTGAGAAGTAATAACAATTAGTTGTAAACCAGAAACTTTAAAATTTGATGTCTCTCGTATTTTTTGGTAGTTTCTACCATGTAAGGGTAAATACTGTTATACTTAGCTGTACATCTGGGTTTGTAGGACTAAGGGAATGACTGTGCTTATGATTGTTAGAATCAAATTAATGTCAGAGGTTTAGGGTTTTTAATTATATACTGATTTTCTTATATTGCATCTGTTGCTATTAACAGTGAGAAGAAGTAAGTATGTTTCCTTTTTTTTTGCAGATGTTAGAGCTTAATATAGGATTCTTCAAACAAACCAGTATAATCATACATGCTGTTATTGTTCAAACAGTGCTTTCTATAGCTATAGGTACTTAGAAATTGATACCTGTCACTTTACCCCAGAGTCTGAAGTTTGTTTTCAGTTGAAGGGTTATAAAATAGCCACAGTAAATTACTATGGCTTACATTATATGAGAAACAACTACAGTATATTACTGTGACCTACAGTATAAGAAAACAGCTACATTTGATTATTGTGACACACCATATTAGAAAACAGCTGCAATGTATTACTGTGACATGTGTATAAGAAAACAGCTACATTTGATTATTGTGACACACCATATTAGAAAACAGCTGCAATGTATTACTATGACATGTATATAAGAAAACAGCTACATTTGATTATTGTGACACACCATATTAGAAAACAGCTGCAATGTATTACTATAACATGTGTATAAGAAAACAGCTACATTTGATTATTGTGACACACCATATTAGAAAACAGCTGCAATGTATTACTATGACATGTGTGTATAAGAAAACAGCTACATTTGATTATTGTGACACACCATATTAGAAAACAGTGTGATGTATTACTGTGACATACAGTATACAAAAACAGCTACATTTGATTATTGTGACACACCATATTAGAAAACAGCTGCAATGTATTACTATGACATGTGTATAAGAAAACAGCTACATTTGATTATTGTGACACACCATATTAGAAAACAGTGTGATGTATTATTGTGACATATTGTTTAAGAAAACAGCTACAGTGTATTTGTGTGATATACTTTATAATGAAACAGCTATTGTGACATATAGTGTGGCATGTACTGTATGATGTATCATCTATCACAGGTATGTTTGCTATTTAAAATGTAAAGTAACTTTGTAAGTGATTGGAAATACTACAACACAAAGAACCAAATTTAGAAGGAAGAGAGAAATAAGTAGCTCTTTAAAAATATTGAAAACTTAGGAAGATAATCAAAATTAATTCAATTACATCTGGATGAATCCTGGTTCCAATTAGATTTTCCCAGTTATCTTTATATTTGAGGCTTTTTTTAGTGATATTTATAAAAATAGAAGTGAAGTCAATAAATCCTTTTAAGTGTATTCAAATTTATTGACTCTTGTTTAAGTCTTTAAATGTAAATTTATATTCTTTATAAAAGTTGTTTACTAGAATTTGCCATTATATTTTTGATCATATAAAATATGCTTCATATATTTCTTGTAAACAAGTTGTGGTGTATTTGTCCTTCTATTTAGACTGGGACAACTGATATTAAGTAATAAATATTCAAGGTAAGTTAATTAGCCTTTTTTTAATACATTCCTCAATTTGCACATGTACATAATGCTTCTGTTTTTAGTTATAATTAGGATAATTTCTGTTTGTGTATAAGAATTACTATTGGGTTTTTTTTCCCTAATAATCAGAACTTCATGTGAGTAATACCACAAGAATGAGGAATTTCATATATAATGTGTTAAAACTGCTGACATTGTTAGAGTAAATTGGATTTGATGGTACCATTCCACTTACTAAAGTTAACAGTATTCCTGTTATTACGGTTAGATCCATTTTATTACTTTGATTATACAGGAATCATTATATTTTATTTTCTCCCGTATTACTAATGCTAGTCCAAAAGTTTATGCATGCAGCAGGTTATGAATGGATTTGTAACCTAGTGAATATATATTTATATGTGTGTGTGTATATATAGACACACACACACACACACGTATATATAACAATCTTTTAAACCACTAGCTAGAATGAGCTCTTTAAATTAGTCAGTCAGATTTTGATGTTTACATCTAGTTTTATTACATCATATTATTAAACCAGTGATGTGCTGTATTACAGTTTTGATGCTTATTTTTTCAGAAACATTTAGAAATGTAAACTGTCTTAAGAGTTTCATTTGACCATGAAGTACGTGTATAAATCTAGTCAACATTTTGTGATTTACTAACCTTGCAGAATTTATATTCACACTTTATTAGGCCTACTTTATGTTACTGGTCCTATTTTTGTTGTTTGTTTATTATCCCTATGTTTGTGTTAGTGATGTTATAGTGCATAAAGAGACCTCTCATTCCAGGATAAATGGTTTTTTATTATCAGTTTGTTAATATAAAGCCAAAATGAATTTGAAAGGATCTTTTATCACAAAAAATTGCATTAATTGTGTAAAGCTACTGTGCTACATTGCTAATTAAGAATGTTTTAGAAGTTCAGTTGTTTCTTTTTTATATACATACATGACTAATTACATGAGAACTATTGTATGATTGATTGTTTTTATGACACATGAACAATGATGGTAATGTTTTTTGTTTCCTTTAAAAATATAGATGTTAAAAGATTTTGTTACTGAGCATAAACAACTAATGTAAAAATGGTTAAAATCACTGTAATGTAAATTAAACAGTCAAGGTTATTTCAATGCATTTACCTGTTTTTTCTCCTTTCAGTAATTTTATTTTGTGTTATTGAGCTTATTTTAAAATATTTTCAGTTCATAGGACTTTTAGGTATCTTGAATTGTTTTTATCTAGATATGTTGTAAGATGCAGTTATGTTCATGTAAATCTGTCAAAACTGTGCTGAGAAAAATGCCCATCCACACACTAGTTGAAGTGGTAATGTTATGATAATGTTGATGGTTTTAGATTGTAATATTCAAATGTTTATTTTCAGTTTTTCTTCAGTATACTGAGAAATAAAGCTCTTGACAAAGCCATAATGTTCTAACATTCATACCACATTTATGTAAACTTGAGTTTGAATTTGTACATCACTTACATAATAATGAGAGAATGTTGATAGGTATATTTCTTGATTAGTTACTCTTCAGGGTTAATATCCTATCAGCTCACAAGTTTTTGGGAAAAAGTGTTTTTACATTTAATATTGGAATCAAGATATAACATTAGGAGTGGTGCTATTAATAGAAAAAAATATTTTTGTTTAAAACTAATTTAAACTTACATATTCCATATTATTGTTTTTGTTCTAATTGTAGCTTCTTCCTGCTTTATGATATTGGAGTTGTGGTAGAGAATACATTCCCTTCTTTCATGCTTTTTAGTAATGTAGTAAAGATTTTGGGAAATGACATCTCTGATGGAATATGTTATTGTGTATTTTAGGTTGCTATAGTAACAAGTGTGGAATAAAATCATAAAATCGATATTTTGTTGTGAGACATGGCTTACATACACAACTTCAAAGTTGTTTTTACAGTGTTATTTAGACGTGTTAATTTATATGATGTAATTATGTAGCTTGATGCTGAAAATATAATTTCTCTACATTGTTAAAACTCTGAGTTGAATCAATGGTTTTAAAAGCTCATTTTAGGCTTTAGATATGCTATCATCCAATTACTAGCAGGTATCACCTTGTTTGATATTTTTGAAGAATAAATCATTGTTGAAATTGTTATTTAGATCTTTCAAATCAGGTCATCTTTTTACCTCTGAAATAGTTTAAGCCTTTCCTTGTTGAGGTTGAGTTTATTCTCAAGCTGTCAACAAACATGTAACCCAAAATTCTGAATCCATCTTATTCATTACAGAACATGCATCAGATACCCATAATTTTCACCCTCCTACCTTCTACATGACTTATTTTACATATGTTAGAAGAACTGACATAAGCCCTGCTTTCCCATCATAATTCAGATAGAAACTCTTCTGCATCAATTGATGATTTAATTCTGCAGTTTTCCCCTGCCATTTGCGGAGTTCCTATAGCTGCATTGTCAGCCTCTAATGCCAAGTCTCCTGTCAGGACTTCATGGATGCTAGTTTGATGGTCATGAATTTCTTTCTTTACTCCAAGAAAAAGTTGGTTCTTTCACACAGGCTTTTTCACCTTTGAGGAGCAGGATTTACCATTCAGCTTTAGTCTTCAGGAGCAAATGAATGACTTGCATGATTCTCTTTATCTAGCATTTACTGACTTGGCCTCATTTACCAATGGGCTTACTTGCTTGTTCTCATTTATTACCTAGTGGTATTTTATAAAAGATTCACACGTACCCCAGTATTTATGGTAGCCTCTAAAGGGTTGTTTCTTGCACCATTTTATTTTTGTCAGTATTTCTCCTAAATTATTTTCTTAATCTGTAGAAGCTCATCATTAGAAGCTGATTATGGCTCTGGCATAGCTATTTCAGTTTTTCATCCTACTTTTTGATATCCAGTTAATATTTGTTATCCTCCTTCTTACACTGCTACTTCTCAGCTTTATACTTATGCTTCTTCTCATTATTTTTTTTCCTTTTGAGTTGAAAAATGCAAAAGTAAATGGGGTGAGCTTTCTTGACTTAGACATTTCCAAATGACTCTTCCTCTTAGTCTTTTGGGGGTCACCTGGTGTCCTTTGTTCATCAGATTCTTCAATCTGGATTTTCTGTCCAATTTCATCATTCTCCTGCACTTTTGACTTCTAATTTCTTTTCCTTTTCTGTCTGATCCAATTTGTATTCAAAATTCAGATAATGAAGTTCCAAACATTTGACAGAAAGATGTTATAGAAACAGTATATTTTCCCATGTTTTTACTCGTTTTTTTTGTAGTGCCAAAAAAGTCATAAGATTGGAGACCAGTGATTGATCTTTGTCATTTCAGTCATTATCTGGACATTCTTTATTTTAAGATGGAAACCATGGAAATTCTTTCATCAGTTTTTGGATGACAAAAGTGGATATCAAATATTCTTACCGAAATGTCCCAATTCATTTCTTTTTGACATTTGTTTCTCTTTACTGGTACCATTAGGGAGTGGCTTATCAGTTTACAGCCTTCTCTTTTGGTCTAGCTTCAATACCTTACATCTGCACACCTATTATCAAAACATTTGTTGGTGTTCTATGTACCTCCAGTATGGATTCTCATCATTATACTGATGATTGGCTTATTCTCACTCAGTCATCACTACACTGATTGACTCGCACTCAGTTAACCACCAATTTAGATGGGGTGCTTTACTAGGGGATTATAATTTTCTAGGTGTCTGGTCTCCTCAGGAATCACTTTCTCACATCAATGTTTAGGAGCTTTTGGCAGTTGACTGTGTATATCAAGAGTCCCTACCCTTGTTATACAAACACTGTACTGTATTTACATCGCACAGACAACTCTTCTGTTGTGATATATATCAATAATCAAGTTCATACTCATTCTGCACTTATTTGGCTACAATCACATCATGAATATCCCTGAGCTTGTCATGTACCACATGTTGTGAATATTATTATGGTTTGTTTTTTCAAAAATTGTTGGCTTTCTTTAACAGAAAGGACCTCTCAGTATTTCAATGGTTGTACCATTGGATAATTCATCCTGTAATTGATGCATTCACTACTGCAACCAATCATCATCTTCCATGTACTGGTCTACAGTTCTAGGTCCCACTTCACTAATGGCAGCTGCTTTGAGCCAGTCTTGTGAAAAAAATTTTCTCTGTGCTTTACCTCCTCTTTGTCTTCTTCCCTAGGTATTGGCCAAGATCATTTTCTGGAATTGTCAAATTCTCCTTATTGCTTCCCATTAGCCTGTTCTACAGTGGTTTGCATTACTATGTTGTATGTCTGAAGGGGATACTACTCCATTACCTTTTTGAAAAGAAAGTCAACTTCTTTTCTTGTGTTGTTCAAATGCTGTCACACTTTTGCAAACATTCATCCATGGCTGTATGCTGATCTCGTTGGTCTGTGTTCAAGAGTTGGTGCCTTCAAAAATCTATTTCTTCTCTTTCACCAACAATTCCAACAGATTGTCTCATTTTTCCTATACTTATTCAATTATCGTGGCTTGTTTGCTTCTTCTGTTCGATGATGACTTTTTCTTACCAACCCTTCACAAAAGACAGTTGAAATCAAGGTTTACCCATAAGAAAAAAATTGGAATTCATCTTGGTATGGATATAAGTCTTAATATAGAAGAAAATTTGTAAAAAACACCATTAGTAAAGTAATTCATTTGGCCAGAACTTGGTAAATCACGTTCAGAACAAATGCTGTTTACATAACGTTACATATATGTTTGATCAACATTTCCTTCAAATGTCACTTAATAAAAACAAGTTTAGTAAGGTGTTTTGTCTGTGTTTTTCTTGACACTTAATAACCTTTGCATTTATTTTGTTTATGTTAAGTCTGTATGTTTTGATAGTCTTGTATCGAACCATAAGCAAATTGACCAAAAAGTTATTTTTATTTGCTTTTTTAATATTATTTACTGGATAATTACCTATTTAATTATTACATTTTATTTATGAGTAAAGATTTGTTTGTTTCAAGATAAGTTAAACGGCATTCCAGTATTTCGGAGTACTATCATTTAAAATCCTACTGATTTAAGAAGTTAATAAAAAATGTGTTCGTTCATATAATTGAATAGGCTAGCCTTTCCATTTAGTACACAACCTGTAGCCAGTTTAGTAGGTCTTCATACATCTAAGGACACATCTGTCTTATAAAATTCAAGAATTTAATAGCTTTTAAATGAAAATTGATATAATTTTTCAGTCAGTGCTAGTCAGTGTTAAAGAACTGCTAGTTTGAAAACAATTGTCACACGCACATAGACAGATAGTAGTATTCTTGATAAATTAGGTTTCAGAATTACCAAATTTCATTGCAATTATAGGAACCAATATTAGAAACCTAAAATAAAATAAAGTTTACATCCACTATTTTTGAAACAAGAAATGTATATGGAAACAAGTTTTGACACTTTCACATATCCTGTTCAGTCCAACTTTTCTTTGTGAGAAAAACACATAGTTTATTTTATAATGGTTGTGCCAAGTCCCTTGATGGCATATGACTTAAGTAAGGGGTTCAGTTTATTGTAACCTTCTGAAATGTTGAAGTTTGGCAATGTTTGAACAAATGAATTTTCTACAGTTCTTCTTTTAACATAATTTCTAGTTTTATGTATCATGTCGGCTGGTTTCCAGTTAATTATATGATCAAGATTTCTCATGTGAAAAAAAAAAGCATTATTTGTTTGACCATTTTTAACATCGTTTTATGTTCTGCAAATCTTGTATCTATTCCTTTCACCAACATAATCTTTGTCACAAGACTCCTTGTTCTTTATTTTGAGGTGCAGACATGTTAGTGGATAGCAAGTTATTAATGGTGATGGGTTATTTATAAAAAAAACTTTGAAATTGATGTTTTTGAGATATTTCTCTAGAGCCACAATATTAGAATTGTAGTTGATATTGAGTATTTTCTTCTTATTTTCATATGTATATAATGCTGTTTGCTGGCTGTTGTTCCTATAAAATGTTTGTGATAAAACCCATCGGATATTGTAGCCATTTAATGATTGTATAGGTGTTTTTGATTTCTTCATCAAGAGGCATATGATGACATATTATGAAGGCTCTTAGAAACATGGAAGTCATAATAGATGTTTTAACTGTTTTATGGGGGCATGAGAAAAAACATTTATACAGCCTTTGAATGGCTAGAATATCCTATTGGTTTTATCACAAATGCCCATCATAAGGAAAGGAAGACATTTTATACGAACAACAGCCAGCAAAAAGCATCATCTGCATATGAAAATACAAAGAAAATACTGAACATCAACTACAATTCTAATATTGTGGTTCTAGAGAAATGTATCAAAAATAACAATTTCAAAGTTCTTTATAAATAGTAATGATGACTTTGCGATTCCTCATTGTTTCAAAGAAGCATTAAGAAAACTAAAAAATAATAAGGATATTGTAGTAACTACATCTGACAAAACAAACCAAATTGTCATCGTGGATAAATCTACTTATAATGAAAAAGTAAACAATTTATTGCAGAATGTAACTTGCACTTTTACATAGCTTTCCACATTTTACATTACAAAACAATGATAATCAAATCAAGTCAGATTATTTCTGGGAACACTAAGTTCTTAATCAGCACCACCATCAGTTTTGAGAAGGCAAAGCTTGTTAATTGGTCTTATCTTGTTTGAGTTCCCAACACGGACAACCACAGATCTCACTAGGCCAGCACTGTTGAGGTATGTTTCAAACACAATGCTGAGTTGCTATTCACAACATTTCACCTTTTCATTAGAAACGAGGATGACATCATTGATCCCCATGTTCCTATGTGGTTTGAACCACCTCTGTTGTATTTTCAACATAGACAAGTATTCTTTGACCCATCTTCTCCAGAACAGTATTCTAAGTAGCATGCTTGGTACCACTATTTTCTGGTGTTCTGGTCTTTGTTGTCAAAAACTCCTCTTTGGTGTCAAGACCTCCAGATCTCAAATGTCATCGGATCCAAAGGTTAGTGGTCAATCATTTAGTATTTTCTCTACTTCAGCCATGATGGTTATTAATGCTTCATCTGACAACAGTTGCTATGCCACTAGTGCTGTGAGTGATTTCCTAAATGACGTTCCCATGCACCTGCCATATTACTAGCTTTAGGAGGATTGAAATACTAGTCAATTTCTTGTTGTAACATGTGCAGAAGTTTGTACCATTATTGCTGAAACTTCCATTGGTTTTCCTTGATGACAAATAAACTGGTGGAAGGTGGCAGCGAATGAATCTGTGTTCAAAATGTGGGCAATCTCGGTGTGCAATGCTCTTTCTGTTAAACAGATGAAGATACACCCGTAATGTTTTACTATTGATCTGCCTTGTTTAGCATTGAAAAGGTCAAGTCTAATATATGAAAAGGGTGGTTTTCCAGGCTTGATTCGTTCTCTTGGTAGATTGCTGTTCTCTGAGGGGTTCATTGCACTTCTTACAATTGAAGCATTTCCTTAATACATGTTTGACTGAGAAATGGCCTTGTACGATTCACTAACACCACCTTGTTTTAGCTAATACCTGACAAGTTCCAGCATGACCTACTAATTGCTGAAAATGGCAAATGATCAGCTCTGTTACAGGATGCTGAGAAGGCAGAACAGTTTGACGACACATATTTTGGGGAAGTACAGCCTGCTTCAAACAGCCACCCACCTTCATCACGCTATTATCTAAGTAGGGATTCAGCTTCTGAAGTGGACTCTTCTTGATGCACTGACCTTCTACTAAAGCTTGGATGTCCTCATTATACACCCTTTGGGCATGCTGGATTAGAATCTTCTCATATTCGTTCTGAACATCCACACTAATGATAGGATCAGGTGTGTGTATCTGAAATTACAATACTGTTTGAATTTGAGGAGCCATACTACTACTATACGTAGGTGATACTAATCTGAATATTGCTTTACTATTTCATCCATGTAGGCAGAGTGCGATTTGCTCTTTCTTCACTTGCAAATCGTTTGTTGGCAAAGATTTATAAACTTCTTCAGATTAAAGCCAAGTAGAGTCAGACTCCCACAAGAACTGTGGGCCATGTAGTATTTGGCACTTGAGAATCCTTCAAAGTCATTCCCTAAATACAAGATTTGCTGCCAATAATTGGCTGGCTTGTAGCGGCATGGCACTGTTATTTCTTTTTATGACTAAGATCTTTGAGCCATGACTGCCACAACTCAACTCCTGTGGTACCCAATGCATCATCCCACTCCAGCTGTTGTTTGCATAGACATCTCAAAAGATGCTTCATTGGAAGTATTAATGGTGCAATAATCTCCATTGAATCGAAAACTGCACTTATCATAGAAAGAACCCTGCATCAATTGATTGTTTTTAAAGTTGTCATCAAATTTCAAAAGATGAAATCATCTTTGCGTGGTCTACAGGACACTCCAAAGTGCAGGATAGATTGGACTATCTAAGTTCAAGTCCACAATGTCCTTTACTGCATTCTCACTTGGAATACTTTTGAGGACTTCTGAATAGTTGCTCACATACTTACAAAGGGTGAATCCTCCTTCCTTGAGCAACTTGTCCAACTGGATGGCCAGATGCTTCCCATTCTCAGTCATTGGTACTGACATCAAACAATCATCCATGTAAAAATTCTTGAGCACAACGTTTACTGTAGTGTCATCATAATTTCTGCCATCATTACCACCTATTTTTCTAAGTGCATAGCAAGTGCAACTTGGTGATGACGTTGCACCAAACAAGTGAACCAGCATATGGTATTCCTGGGGAGGATGAGCTAACTTGCCATTGAGCCACTGTGACCAAAAAATCAAGTCCTCTATAGAAGATTAACTTACAATTAACTATTGCTGTTCTAAATGTTATAACAGCTATGACATATTTTGTTCCACGTGCACTAATATGTGTAAGTTTGGATAACAGATGATCATGCAGATGACACATTGAATATCAACCTGAGTATCGAAATCCTACCAAAAAAGTATATTATAAAAAACAATCTGAGTACCAAACACCTATATTTCACAGTAATCTTAGAGCATCACAATCCTGTTGGTCCACCTTAACCTGATGTAACATTGCTTTTACATCAGCAAATATAACCAATGCTTCCTGAAGAAATTACAGTAGTACATCAATCATTGTGTTTGTCTGATATGGTCCCTGGAGCAGGTTTTCATTTAACAATACAGACTTGAACTTTGCTGCACAGTCAAACACTACTCTGACTACTTGGTTTGTCAGTGATTTTCAGATCTTCTTTGAAAACCTGTTCAGCATAACCTTTGTTGTGGTAATCATCTATGTATGTGACATAGTTCATCATCCAACTTTCATTTTCACTTCAAAGAGCACATACGAGCCTCAGCCATGTTTCTGTTTGGTAAGTATGGGATTGAATCTTTCCATAACAGCAGTATTTGATAACGTCCATTGACTTGAACCATGCTGTTATCCATAATGCTGAGAGCCTTCTTATCATCAACTATGCAACATTTCTGGGAACTCTGAGTTCCATAGCCTTTTGACTTCATCTAGGAGCTCATTATTTGAAACTATATCAAATGCTTGTTGAATCAGCATTACGCCTTTGTTATGAGAGATCTGCACTTGCAATTATATTCATCAAGTCCCATCAACGTCCATCCCAGTGGCAATCATATGGCATATAGTCCTTTGCAGTTACCACGTCTTTCTTTTGTTACCCAGAAAACCTCTGGAGTATCACTACCAATCGGTATAGAGATCTCTGCTGACTTATTAACTACTAGGTC